CCGAACAGCAAACAGCTACTCCATCGTCTGCTGACACATCCCATATCGTCACCTCGGCACTCATCAGCAACGGCATCGCCACGCCCAACCCCACGCCCCGCAAACAATCTCGAGAAAACGCGGCTCTCAAGGAAGGCACCACTACTGGGCGAGGCACGCCCCGTCCCAACGACGTCAAGACCCAAAATGGCGGCGCAGCAGCTAGCAAAACCAATGACGACAACTCGAGCGCTTTAAAAGCCAGCGGCCCGCAGACAGCCGGGGGTCTTCGGGCGGAGGCGCCATCCTGGCCATCCCCGTGCAGCAGCCCATCGCGGACGAGCCTGTCCGAATCATTGTCCCCCGAGGAGCTGAGACGGGTCAAGTCAGAGAAGTAGCTCCGCCGGAGCCCTCGCCGAGACGGAAGACGGCCGTCAAGTCACCCTTCTTCGGCCAGCCGCAATCGAGGCCGTCGCCCCGGTCAAAACGCCCGGGTGGTCTTGTATCCACGATCCCCTTCCCTCCGCTGTCAGCCCCGCGCTTTGGCCTGATTCAGGAAGAGTTTGCTCATGAACCTTTTTGGCTGCTTGTGGTTGTAACTTTCCTCGTCAAGACAGCCGGAACGCTGGCAATCCCTGCGTTTTACAAGGTCAAGGAGCGCTTCCCGACACCAACCGCCTTGGCTGACCCAGAGGCGACCGCCCCGATCGTGAGCATGATCCATCATTTGGGGCTTTCGGTTGTGCGAACAGCGGCCATACAGCGATATGCCCGGTTGTGGCTCGAGAGGCCACCGACAGCAGGCACAGTTTACAGAGTGAAGAATTACGACAAGAGAGATTTGGAACTGGAAACACTCAGGCCCGACGTTGGGGGTTCCCAAGAGCTTACTCCCGGACGCAGCGGAGAAGCCGGCGAGGCGTGGGAGATGGGTCACTTGACGCAAGGCAAATACGCGCTCGACAGCTGGCGCATCTTCTGCCGTGACGAGCTTTTGGGGCGGGCCGAAGACTGGAACGGCAAAGGGGCGGCCCCCAACTTCCAACCCGAGTGGATGAGAGTACGACCAGATGACAAGGAGCTCCGGGCGTGTCTACGGTGGATGTGGATGCGCGAAGGCTGGGAATGGGATCCCGTAACGGGCGAGAAGACGGTTCTTCGGGACGAAATGCGAAGAGCTGCGAACGAAGGGCGGGTGGGTTATGATGATGGCGGCGGGTTGGTGATCCTCGATGAGCCGCGATCAGGGTCGAGCTGAGGCCTTTTTTTTTTCTTTCATCGGGGGCTATACAAATGACTTTTTTTCATGACAGGTTCAGCCGAGGCTGGATATGAAGTTTTGGTTGATACCCGCACCACAGAATGGTGCACTAGGCACAAACAGCATTAGACATTGGACGCTATCGCTTCGATAGACGTCGATAGACGGGCTGCTGGAGCATTTCTTGGCAGCTCTGGAAGACAACAACAACAACAGTGTACGTCTGAGAATTATGCACACGAATGGTGACACGATTCAGCAGTGACTAGCCAAAGCGCCTATTCGCTCGAAGCCTTTTTTTTATTTACTTGTCCTTGGTCCAGACGACGCCAAGCGTTTGCAGACGATCGATCTACTGGGCGCCATGTCCTTCCAACCACCTCCACTGCTGAGTTTGCAGTCTAGGTATGTTGTGTCACTCGAATCACTGCGAATCATGTCCAAATGCTGCGCCAGCCTCCGCGCCTTGCCTCATGGCACAACACACACACACACGCACGCACTCCCGCATCGCGCTAGAATATTCTTGCTTTTTTATTCACTACTTCCTTTTTCTTGGCCCGCACTTTGAAGCGCGCAACGGACGAGTCAGTCGTCCCTCTTGGTGGTGGACCCTTCTCGCTCGCTCGCTCAGTGACATGCCCGCCCGGGTTTGCTGCGATGCCATCTTTTCATTTTTACCCCGTGCCCAATTGGCCACGGACGACTCCTTCTCAGTCGGCTTTTCGAGTTTCCCTCCATACGAGGGGAATCGTCATATCTGACGGGGATCAGCGAGGTGGTTGGGCGGGCGGGCGTGAGCGACGGGCCTGGGTTGGTGCAGGGTCGACAATGTCGTCTGGAAAAACGGAAAAGAAAAAGAGCAAAAGTCCGCCTCGGATCTCTATCTCTCTTGCATGTGTGCATGTGCCCCCGGCACACTTTTGCTCGTGGCGTCCTTCCCCTTTGGCCTGCCGCTGCAAGTGTATCGATTTAGCGCTGGGACCCCACAGTAAGCCATCCCCCCCCCCAATTGCGCGGATGCAGACAGGCGAGACCCCCGGACAATGGCCCGCAGGATGGGCGCACCGCACCTCTTGCACGCACAGGTAGGTAGGTAGGCAGGCAGGCAGGTACCTACCTGTACCTACAAAAGCAACAGACTTATCATCGCCTTTCATCCCCCCTCTCCTTCCCCCCCCGCGCGCGCTGTTGCTTTCAGGAGGGATCTTGGCGGGCTTTCTGGATAAACCGCAACCTCCTCCTCTCCTCCTCCCCTTTCCTCACCCTCTCAACCTGTATTCTTATACCACACAAGGGTAGAAAGAGAAACGGACTTCTACGATGGGGTCCCAGATAGACTCGGAAGACGAGTTCACGGTGCTCGTCACCGGCTTCGGCGTACGTCCTGGATCCATCCCCACACCTCCCTTCCACCCCCCCCTTCCGGTCTTTCCCACGGGTTTGCCCCTCCTTTTCGCGAACCCCGCCATCGCCCGGACGGCGACTTTTTTCAGTCACATCGCGAACCCAAACGGTAGCGCCCGGCGGACTTCTAACCCGCGGGGCCCTCAATTGGTGTTCTTTCTTATTTTACCCCAATTGCATTTACGAATCCGTTCCTTTCTTTTCTTTTTCTTTTTTTTCCTTCAATTTTCTTCCGTCAAAACTGACCAGATCGTGTTCGCGCTCTAGCCGTTCAAGGCCCAGTACCCCGTCAACCCCTCCTGGGAGATCGCCCGCTCCCTGCCCGCCTACCTCCCGCCCCTCCGCGCCAAGAACCCGAAAGAGCACCACCACCCCTCGGCCTCGTCGTCGTCCTCCTCCTCCTCCTCCGCTGCCGCAGCCAGCCGACCCCTCCCGCCCGTCCGCATCCTCGTCCACCCCGAGGCCATCCGCGTCAACTACATGACCGTCCGCGCCCTCGTCCCCCGGCTCTGGGACCCGGCGCTGCACCCGCGCGTCGACGCCGTCGTGCACATCGGCATGGCTGGCCCGCGCCTGTTCTACTCGGTCGAGCGCCGCGGCCACCGCGACGGCTACACCTTTCCGGACGTCGACGGCCGTCGCCTCGAGGACGACGAGCGCCGCCGCGAGGAGGGCGACGGCTGGGTCTGGCACGGCATGCCGCCCGAGATCGAGACGGGGCTGGACCTGGCCGACGTGCTGGAGCGGTGGAAGGCGCATAGCCCGGTGAGTGTCCCTTCTCCCCACCCCTGGCAAATATACATTATGAATGGAGCGTTGCCCATGTTTTCGAGGTCCGAGACGAGTTACTGACGGCGTCGGGGAACAGGAGGGCTCCGACCTGCGCATATCGGAAGACGCGGGCCACTACCTGTGCGACTTCATCTACTTCTCCAGCCTGGCGCACCTCTGGCGGGCGCGGGAGCACCGCCGCGTGACGTTCCTCCACGTCCCCTCGGACGCCTCCGAGGCCTCCGTCGCCCGCGGCACCGAGCTGGCCGTCCAGCTGGTCCGGTCCATCGCCGAGAGCGAGCTGCGCCGCCGGCGGGACCGGGGCGCCGGGCCAGAGGACGAGGTCGTGGCCAAGGAAGACAAGATCGCCGTCGAGCTGCGGGTTTGAACGAGATGGGATGGATGTCGACGAAACGTGATGACCTTTTTCTGCTTTTCTTCTTTTTCTTTTCTAGTAAGTGGGTGGGTGGGTAGGGGAACAGTTATGGGATGTCTGAGTATATGGCGCGGCTGGGTTGGGCGGGCATCGGAGGTGAAATCATAGAGCATGCGGGGGTGGTAGCATGGAGTTTTCCCCCCCCCTCCTTCGTGTGATGATGGGTTTTTTCACACGCTGATATGAGATGTGTTTTTTCTCTTCTTTCTTTCATGAGTGAGTAACGAAACGGGGGCATCGGGAATACAAGTCGACGGCCAGGGTTATTATTTTTACGCAACAAGGATCACGTTCTCGGCATCAGCCTCTTGACGCCCCTGTGCCTTTTGTTTGGTTCGCGGGTGTTTTTCCTCGGCGGTAGTCGGTTCCTACTAGGCTGGCTGACGTTAGGGTGCTTCTGCCGGGAGGTTGTGTCATTGGGGGGGCGTTCTGGAAAAAGAGAGCTCGACGGGTCTTCCACCACGCCCATGTCGTCGTTGAATAAGCAACACGATGAGAACAGAGAGAATCGGGAGCGGCGGGTGGTTTTCATCACCCTGATCACCCTAATCGATTATGCCGCTTTCCTGCCGTCTCCGCCATAGAGGTTCTCCGCTTGTGGACGGGGTGAAGGGAGGCCGCATACCACACACAGTCCAACCAAGTCAGCGAACAGAGGGGCGGGCAGTTGGCGCCATGTTGGCCGACATAGAGGTCAACCAACCATTGTTTATACCACAGGCGTCTGTCTGTCTGTCTGTCTGACTCTCTGACTCCCAGTTTGTATCCCTGGTAGGCTGGGAAAACGAAGATGACGCGCCAACCTCCTGTCCGCGTCTTCCGCAGCAGATCATCCCGACGGATGGGTGAAGGTTGCAAGCATCAAGATGTTGCGGCTCAGCATCGGGACCCCTCGGGACTCTCTCAGATATGCCAGATGCACGCACGCACAGGCCATCTCAAGGCAAAGACAGCACCCGCATGCATATACAGCAAAAGGAACAACCCCGGACAACCAGCTCACTGGCGTGCCCAAACCCAGGATGAACGAGTGCAAAAGGACAAAAAATGGTTTGCCGTATTCCATCCAACCTGTTGAACAGTGTTCGTAAGCTGAAAGAAAACCATCATCGGTTTTATCTTTTTGGTCGGCCATCGTAAAAAGGTTGCTCCCGGCGAGGATCGAACTCGCGACCTTCGCATTTCTCACATTGATGATGTAATTATAAGAACAACGTCATAACCAGCTAGACCACGGGAGCTGTTGCGAAAACTGGAAATTTTGCCCCCCATCAACCCCCCCCCCCGCCGTCTGCCGGTTCCGCGAGGCCCGGTCGGTCGACTGCAGATGGAACACGACGAGCCGATGCCTCGGTCGTTCGTGCTCGCGGCTGACCGTCGCTCCTCGGGCTTTCTCCGAAGCGGTGTCTGCTGCTGGGGACGCACGCAGTCTTGTACACGGCGGTTCCGGCGGTGCCCGTCTTTAACGGCCGGGTGTAGAAGCATTGAGACCGATATTCTAAACATGGTACATATTTACCGGGCTGGAACTTTTTATATGGGGAGTTATTCGCAAAAGGGAGACGATACATGGCAGGGCTCTGTGTCCGGTATTACGCGGCTGACAACCCGGACGTACCATTCTTCGCCGAGGACACCGGCACCTCCGGAAGCGCCCTACACGGGGCTTTCACTATGGCCGCCAACGCAACAAGACGGCCTTGAACCATGGTTAGTGCCCATTTGTTGGGGAGCTGGCTTCTAATTGTCATTTAGACAGTCTTGCACACCACCCTCATGCACAGCTTGTCCACGTGGTAACCAAACATAGCTCCCTCTCACGACGAAGGCCATCGCTTGCGGTAGTTCTTGAACACGGCTTCCCAAAGCCAGAAGCAGCAGCTCGTAGAGGGCTTATCAGCTTTTCTTCCGCTCAAGCTACATTAGTTGAAGCCCATTTGGCGTATTAATCCCGTGAGGCGCGGCACACCGCGACACCCGGAAGCTCTCGAGGGTCGCATTCATCTGAGCCTTTCCTGTACAACCAGAGTGTCTGTCCGTCTTCTTCCAAACTTGCTCGACTATCCCCACTCTCTTGTCGATAAATCACACTGAAAAAAATAACGCCACATCAGTTGTTCGGCATCGACTCTTCCCATCATCTCATTTCCACAATACTCCCAAGAGCCCCATCTCTCGTTGACTACTTCGGCCAGGTCTGTCAAACCATCCAAAATCCCAAGAACAACGTTTCAGATTTTTATCCACAAGAAGTTGGCGAGTAAGTCCCCTCATGCCTCCATTCTAGTCTGAAGTAGCTCTTCTGTCTCTTTCCTGACCATAGCCTCCTTATCGTATCTCCCTTGACGCCAATATAGTACAGCAAGGTCCTCCATGAACCTGATTGGGCTAGGGTGTGCTTTACCAAGTACCTCTTGTCTTAGTATCAGAACTTCTAGCATGATATTCTTCGCCTCACTATACTTCCCTTGTCTAATGTACGTTACTGCAAGCGAAGTCATACTTTGAATTATGTCAGGGTGCTTGGTGCCGAGAATATTCTGTCGTAGATCCGGTACTTCCAAGTAAATCTTTTTTGCCCCATCATACCCCTCTTGTTCATGCTGTATTGTTGCAAGTGAAGACATATTGCGTAGAGCATCGATATGCCTGTTGCCGAAGATATCCTGTCGTAGCTCCAGTACTTCCAGGTAAATCTTTTCTGCTTATTATACCTCCTCTGTGTATAGTATGCTGCCGCAAGATGAGTCATAATACTCCAGACGGTGTCTGTGTGTCTGTCGCCGAACAAACTCTGCCGCAATGAGAGCGCTTTGCTATTTGCCGGCTCCTGTTCGTTCCGACGTCCACGTTCATAGAGGTAGTAGGACACATAAGTCAGAAGATTTGCGATGCCTTCATCTGCGCCGGCTTTGCATACTTATACTTCGGCCCAGTCACTGTTCTGTAATGCATGGGGAAGCCACATCTCGTTCTCGTCCCATGTTTCTGGCGATATCGGGAGGAAGAGTTCCGACACAAGAAGTAGTGCAGCCTCGGAATACTGGGCTGCTTCCTGTCGTCGTGATTTCTGGCTCAGGCTGTATCGTGCCGCATCTTGAAAAAGCTTGTGCATATCGTAAGTCCGCCCAGTGGTAGACGCTAACCGCCGCGGCGAGCGCTTCGTCAACACGCTCGCCTGCTTCATCAACATGCTGCGCGCCACCGTGCCGCCCGGCTCCGGCACCCCAGCAGCCGAGCCCGGCGGCCCCGTTTTCGCATCAATCGCCTGAGCCGCCGCCGCCACCCCGCGCGCCACGGAGTCGCACCCGCTTGTCCAGGCCGCCATCAAGTTCGGCATCTCCGGCGCCGGCGGCAATACAGAGATGCGAGGAAAGCAAAAGAGAAAAAGTAAGTGTCCCCAGCACCATTCAAGAAGCCATTGTTCTGGCTCTGTACGCTTTCCATGACCCTCTAGGGCCTGGCAAATCTGCTCCCAGTCGCATAACGTAATTACACAAGCCATCAGACTTTAGTTATTTTAGCTAGCGAAATCTGTCCTAGATACAATGCTAATATTTACCTACAACCTTTTCCTATTTCGGCCAAGGTCTGTGTAGGTTGCCGCCATACTGCCCTTGCTTTAATAATTAAAACTCCTATGCTCTGCGACCGATATAGTTTTGGGCTGTCTAAGTAAGCCCTACAGGCGCTATGCTGTTGCTAGCTTTGGCTCCCTTGGTGTCAGCTAATTAGCGCGATTATAGTAGCAAAACTGTAAAAAAATGCTACAATACTAAGCCAAAAGTACTTAACGTCTTGTAAGAGATTAACAACTCCTACAAATAGAGCATCATATAGAATAAAGTGGTTCTATATAGACTTTATTGAGAGCGTCTCTAAACTAGCCACGTCTCATCTCTTGTATGAGGGGGGGTGAAAGGCGCAAATTAGTAATTACTACCACTCTGTAGGGGGCATCTAAGGAAATTGTTCAGTTCTCATAAATTGCCTAAAACCTAAAACCATAGATGTAATATGAGTCCTGCGCAGGCTACCTATAAATACTGTAAGACGACACACACTAGGAGACATAATTCCTCCTAAGTCATTCCTAAGACTTAAGTTGAAATGCATCTTGCAACGCGCCGTATAAACGTCTTCCTCAAGGTTGTCGCTATAAGTGTCTGTATATTCTTTATCATTATATACTCCAAACCACAGTTCATTCTCCGCTTGGTTGCTCAGGTAGTAGGAGCTCCCTCGTGCCCTAAAGTAGCAAACGGCATCTGTTATAAAGAATCAGCTGTAGCACCCCCTCTCGAGAGCTCTAGCCCTGCCTTAGAGGTACAGGCTAGCCCTCCCACCAAGATTCCTTATGGAACCGCCATCTCAAGCTGTGTTGTCGAGGGCGACTTTGCTCTCACTTTTGACGACGGCCCTACCAAACACACCGACAAGATTCTCGATCTGCTCAAAGAGGCCGGGTTCAAAGCCACCTTTTTCGTCAACGGCGAGCTTGTGACCAAGATCATGGAAGAGCAACCACGGATTAGGCGCATCCTCGCTGAGGGTCACCAGCTTGGGCACCACACATACCACCACACCGACCTTGTTAAGATAACAAACGAGGAAATCGTCACGGAGATGACGCTGCTAGAGGACACCTTGCTCAACATCACGGGCAAGTATCCCACGTACATGCGGTTCCCCTACTTTGCCTTTGACGAACGAACCCTGGCTGCGATGAAGGAACTGGAATACCACACCATCTGGGCGGACATCGACACTAATGATTGGAAATATAACAATCTTGGCAACTTTACCGGTCTCGATATTTTTAACGCGGGCTTGGAGGAGGGCGGAAGCATCTCTCTGTCTCACGATGTAAGTTGGCCACGGTTCTTGACCCTTCAAACGACACGCGTCTAACTCACAATGAAAAGTGTCAGGAAAACACTGCCGAGAACCTGCTTCCCGAGTTTATTAAGGTTCTTAAGGAGAAGAACCTGCGAGCTGTTACCGTTGGCGAATGCCTAGGCGATCCCGAAGCTAATTGGTATAGAACAAAGCCTCGTGCTGCTCCCTTAAAACTTACGGTATAGATATAATATTACGTATCCACTATGTCCCATACGCACCCACACTTTCATAACGCTTTGCTATTACATCGTCTTCTGAGTCATCCTCGCTCGTTGTAGATGAGGTTGTACTGCTCAAGCCGCTATCGTCGTCTGACTCATCCTCGCTCTCCGTAGATGAGCTGGTGATTTCGAGATTTTGCATGTCTTCTTCGATGTCTGGGCGCGCTGCTGCCCTGATGAGACTGTCGGGAATGTTTTGGTTGTGAACATAAGGAAGCGTGAGAAGGATCCGGTACGCCGTATCGTCCTCCTGCCTTATATGTTCCATCGAGATCGTCCACGTTTCCAGGATGCTGTTCGGAACTTCACGTCGACGGTGTCGGTCGTGTTCAGACTTCTGCAGAACTCTCCATCTTTCCTTTCCTTCTTTTAGCCTGGACAAGTACTCCGCTACCGGCGTGGGCCTTCGACGGATGTATGCAGCGGCCTGCGAGACGGCGAGAGGGAGGTGATCCAGCTGATCCAGTAACTCAGAAACAGCGTCGATCTCTTCAACAGCAACGATCTCGTTTCTTGTTACACAGAAAAGCTCTGTGGCCTCATAAACGGTCGTACGGCCGACTGGCACTCCTCTCCGGGCCCCGACAAGGCTGCCAACAATCTGCTGGTCGCGGCTCGTCCAGAGTACGGTGCCGACTGGGGCCCCGGGAATATAGTCGTTCAAGCACGTCTCATCAGCCGTGGATTGTGTGGTATTAACCGGTCCCTTCCCAACACCAAAGATGCTGAGATTGTCTGCGTTGTCGATGATGAGCAGCCAGCGGGGTTGCGTCTCTATCCATTCGCGGATAGCTCTCAGCAGCTCCTTGCCTTGGAATTTTCCGGCGAGCCCGGCTTTACTCGCAGTCTTCTCATAGTCTTGTGCAAAGGTCGCTTCGTTGTCTGCGTGGACCCAGTAAACAGAGCAGCCTGTTTCGCGGAAGCGGCGGTACGCAAATTCGAGGGCTATCTGTGTTTTTCTACGACAATCGGTCCTCTGTGCGTTCAAGAAGATGCAATGACCGCCTACCCAGAGCCCCCCAGGCCCCAAAGAGCGGCGCTCTGGTAATCAGCGACGCGCGGGAGGAGATCGTCGAGTTTGATGAAGAGGTCGGGGCGGTCGATGATGTAGCTGTTCT